CCATGTTTATGTAGATGTTTGCCCATAGACTTCCCACAGAGTCAAAATTTCATATTTGTCTAGAGGACATCTGACACGAAATCCTCAACATTAGCATTAGACCCTTTGGACGCGAAATGCTTGTTATCTTTCCAAGGGATCACTTCTATCGGTACGCTAAACCCTTCGAGTTACAATCACTTACGTTTGCAGTCGCTTCATTATTTAATGGGAACACGATATAAATACAGGGGGGGGGGCAAAAAAAAGACTTTTTTCTTCCTCGACTTTCGAGGCGCTATAAGTTACACTTTATCAAATTATTATCGGACATTTCTACCACCATATTAAAGAGCATATCAAATACTATTCATCGCACTCGCGCGCAGCCTGGAGGGCGCATGAGGATGAAACGGACGGGTAGTGGGTGCCTGAGTTCAGCGATGATCGGTTGATTTTCCGCACGGTAGAACACTATTGAACTTGCCGGCAGGATTGAGGGTTTAATCAGGTACACTGCTAAAATACTCCCTTCTTAAGTACTCACGTCTCATTACAAGGAGGCAAGAGTTGCTTCCAGCCTTCGTTCCTGTGGTGTGAACAATGCTGTAGCAGGTAAACGTTTCCAAGAGGTGACGGGGACGACTGTTTGAGGGCGGGCTATTCTTCCGAGTTGCCAATGTAACCGCCGCGCTCACTTTAGTCGGGGCCAGTGAGAATATATCGGGTCTCTCAATTCCAGCGAAGGTCCGGTACAGCAATCAATGGCGCCTTGGCGATCTGAGGTAGGTGATATCTGACCGTACCGGACGTTGAGGGCTGCTCGATGATGAGGTTTCCAGATGAGGTACCGCTCTGGGTAGCCTATTTATGGGTGACTCCATACTAGAAGTTTCGCAGGTGTTCGGAGGTGACATGAATTCCGAACGTCTTCTCCAGTCAGGTTGGGGCTGGAGATGACTTCATATTTGGTGTAATGAGGTGATGGGCGGCGCCGAGCTCCTGCTGTATAGAGGACTCTTGGGTATATTTGCCCTGCGTCTGTACCACGTTCTTGTCTGGGTGCGAAACTTTGGATATGTGAATAAAGTCGATGTTTTTTTGGCCCCTCCTGCTATCTTTAGCTGAGAAGGGGTAGGGGAGTTCGAAACGGGGCACGGAACTGCGTTACATGCGTGGGTTATTTAAGGTTTTCAGACAACCGCCATCTTGTTCTTTGTTGGAAAAAGACGTGACCACATTTGGGTCAAAATGAAAATGTCTTTCCAAGAGCACAGCCACCACGACGTTTAGTTGAAGTACGCAGCCACGCCTACCTCATCTCAGGGATTTCGAGTGTAATTAATGACAGATGCTTGTAGTTTCTTTTAGCAGCGTACCGCACCACCTATAGTTCCAGATCTAATCTGGGTGATCTAATCCCTCCCGGAGCCAACGCGCCGGCATGAAAGAGTCGCGAGTTCAAGATCTTTACTCTGTTCAGGGAGTCGTTCTACAAACTCCGAAAGCAGGCTTGAGTTAAACGGTTCAAGTCGTGTTTTCCGATAAGCATCATATCCACAGTGGTCATAGCAGCCATTTGACTTTTCCTCCTTATTGTTAGGTCGGCGTGTCAAACCAATTTGCGAAGACTTGTTAAGTGTTAAGCTAAGAAGTGTCGAAGCCTGCATAACCACGCGCATTCCTCACTTTTTCTAACTAGGGAAGGTCGTCAGGTCGAAGTGGCCATTTGTAATGAGATGTAGCTCACTAGACGTGGTTTTGGACGCTGATCTCGAATCTGCCTTCGAAATTTGCAGAACGATTCTCTGAACGGAATTATGAAGGTTTGTTAGAATTAAAATGAAGGAAAACGGAGTCGAGCGCGGTTGCCAGCCAATTCGCATGAATAGCCGGGAAGCACCCTTACGTTCAACGGCGGCATGGTGTAGTGGTAATGGTCTTGCTTCGCGGGCATGCCATGAAGGGTTCGAATTTCTGGAAGGGAACTTCTTTTGCATTTTGTGGGGAATGTCTCTTTTGAGTCTAGAAAACACATACACCAAATGCTTTTCGTGTTCAGGGAGCAAAACTACCCTTGGGGACAGGTTTCTAGCCAGATGTGAGGTTTTGACCTAACTTTGAAAAGTGCGGTAGCAGTTGATCGAATGATGGTCACCAATAGTCCAGAGCCAGACGCTTGTTGATTGCTTGTCTTCGGACGGATATTTATCTTTTAGATAGCAGGTGGAAAACTGTGCAGCAGTGACAAACGATTGATATGGTAAACAATTGGCAAGACGAGGCTCTTGCGCAGGAGGAAAAGTGTATCTCAGCCGAATTAGGTCTTTGTGAACATTCAATGAAACTAACCCATGAGACTGGCCATCACTTTTCGAAGTCAGGTCAAAATGCCAGATTTGGCTGGAACCTCTACCTGGGCGTAGTTCGCCCCCATAAGTACGAATACGACACTTGCTCAGCGCAGAGAACGCCTGCACTGGCCCGCACAAAGGGCACCTGTGTACATCCAGAAATTCTCCTAGATCATAAGGCACTAAGCGCGCCAGTAAGCGAACGCAAACTGTTTTTCAGGCAAGTCAAGGAGAGCGCTAATGTAGTAGTGACGCCACAACCACTTTTTGCCACGTTTGCGCAAGAAGCAAAAAAGTTAAGCTCAGCAGGGATCCGATCCCACGACCTGTTGCGTGGTAAACGCGGTGGAAGAAGCTCCATAACTCCGTTCAGAAAATTGCTCTGCAAATTTCGAAGGCAGATTCGAGATCAGCGTCCAAAACCACGTCTAGTGAGCGACATCTTATTAGAAATTCCCACTTCGACCTGACGACCTTCCCTAGTAAGATGTTTATGACGATGTGCTGGGAATGACACGTTTCTGACCCAGTGCATCGACTGTTCATGTAACATTAAGCAAAAATCATGAAAATACTGTTGGAATTATTGAGTCAACCAATTTCTTCACGTGAAAAATGTTCCCTCCATAGCATAAAGAGCGGTTAACCTGCGTCAAAGTCGTAGTCACTTCATTTTTCTGCTGAATATAAAAAGATTAGCATGAATTTTCTTTCTCTCTGCTCATGTTTTCTCAACGCATTTTGCTTATTTCCGGAAATTATGGTCCTCCAGAAAAAAATACAGCTACTAGTTCTATTTTGTGAAAGATGTTACGATATTGCCTGGTTACGATATTGTGAGAGGAAATGACAGAGTTCCCCCATCTTTAATCGACTCAAGGGATTCCTCGCGGATTCCCTCCTATTTATGGATATAATTGTAGATTGTATAGAATGCTTCCAGTTCATCCCTGACCTTGAAGTTTTCTACGTTGATGTTAGCGCGACGAGACGAAGGTTCTTTAAGCTGGAGATGATTCTCATCTTCTCAATCAAAGCTTTGATTCCTATTGTCGTTTTATGACTGAACTCAAGATGACAAACTCACACGGTCGAATTCAGTCGCGAGTTAGGGGAAACGGTTCCTCTTCAGCTGCGTGAAGAACGCATAGCGGTCGATGCCTTCTTGTGCCACGGATAGCGCCACTTAATCTCTATGCCAACAGATCAGACTTCCAACACACCACCCTCGGAAAAGCGCCAACTTTCATTCAAATGGTTGACGGATTTGCGATAGGATATACAGAGAAGGGATAGGGGCTGAAAAAGCGACACCTCACTCACTGTGCTTGCGATCGAAGTTGACCTCACCCAAGACAAGGTGCATAACAACCCAAGGTGACTTGTGCCATTCCATAAGCAGAAGTAATCTCTCGAAGTCCTCACCGAAAGGTGACCTGGTCTCCAAAATCTGTTTCAAGCACTCTCACGAATTCCTGGGCGGGGATACCAATCATATGCATGACCGCCTTTTTTGATTGCTTATCGTATAGTCTATGCCGTCTTTATTTTAATTTTGTTTTGATCTGCCTTGATGCGGATGTCCACGGTAACTAGCTTGCGATGTGTTTAGAGATTTGGATTTACAAACGTCGATGTGCGTGTTCAATTCATTTTTTTTGCCTTTGAGGAATTCTTTGTGGGCTGCAGAGCATGTGAAAACAAAAGACATTCTTCTGCCGTAGAAGAGGCAAAACGCAAATTGAGGTGGCTGAAAACGGCGTTAGCATAGTCGCAAGTGCCGCTCATGCGTGGGGTAGTCTCAATGTTCTTAGAATTTTCTAGAATTGCCAGCTTCATGCGTCCGGACAGCACGATGCCTGCTAAGTTACATGCCGTTTGGCTCGTTCGTCTTCCGGTCTGGCGTTCACTGGCACACTGCCGTCCGATACGCTCGGATACACTGGATGGCCATGCGCCAAACAATCAGGAATAACGGACTGTGCAATAAGCGGGAGGCGACGAAGGACGACCATTATCCCAACATCGCCGGCAATTTGGCGATAGAACAAATAAAACACTGATGTGGAAGTCCTGAGGAATACCGTGGCTCGACGAACTATCGCACTAAAACGACCAAGCATTCCGGACTAGCTAGGAAACACATCCTATATTCCGAAATAGATTCCTCAATTGTCACCGTACTTTTTTCGGAAGTGGAGCCAGAACGATATGTGGGCACGAGCGAAAGGGACTAAGTAAGTGTATGCTCTTGCTTTCCATAGAAGAGCACATGAAGTGGCCCTTCAACACTGCAACTTCGGGCAGTCAATAACGCCGTGTAGCCGTCCTCGTTTGGGCGCTTCGACAGACTTAAAAACAAGCACCCATCTCATACTTTCAATGGACAAGTGTAACACATTTTGTGCCACTATAGACATGGTTACCAAAAATTGGAGATGATCCCGCGCATCAGAACGGTATCATTAGGGACTGATCGAAGATCCCTCTACTCATAACACATTCTGTGCACTACGAAAAGTCCATCTCTCTTCTGTTACTAAGATGAATTATTCAGATGTTTTTTATTTCAAAGTATCAATCCCATACTCCTATGGCTTCTTGCAGTCTATTGATGAATTGCGAGAGCTTTCCAAAGGCTGCAAAACTCCCATAGACGCCTTTATTATGGACGTTTCGAGTGATCAGAGTGTTGCAAAAGCGAAAGAATATCTAGAGCGTCGAACAGCGGAGTATGGCGGTGAGTCCGCCCTTCAAAGTTGTGGTTATTTTCTAATTTCCGATGGTTCAGTCACTTATGGCCATTTAAGATTTGTACGAAGAAAGAAGGTACTTGCTCAGGTTTGCACGGACTGGTGAATAACGCAGGCATATTGGGCAAAGAATTCTTCGACGAATTCTTGACCCTTGATGACTACAAAGAGGTTGCAGAAGTGAACACATGGGGAGTTATTCGAGTTACGCATGCGATGAGCTCTCTAATAAAGCAGACAAGGTTGGAAATTTTGCGTAGAAAATTAGTATACAAAGCCATTGAAATAATATTGGGGATATATGCTCAATCGAGCGATTCACATCTAAACATCATGAATTATTTTGGTTAATGCATCATTAAAGGCAGCCCCTGCGCTCAAGTAGTACATGGTCATCCTTCCTTGTGCAAGTAGTACAGCCCCCAAGCTAGAGACTGTCCCACTCTCTAGCTTGGGGGCTGTGGGCTTTGGGTCGCAAATTCAAGACCCAATTTTGTGGTGCAGAAGC